ATTACAGATGGTTGTGAGCCACCATGTGGTTGCCGGGAATTGAACTCAAGACCTTTGGAAGAGCAGGCAATGCTCTTAACCACTGAGCCAACTCTCCAGTACCCCACACATTCTTTTAGAGACAGATAGAAAAGGGGCCAGGCGATGGTGGTGCATGCTTTTAATCCCAGCACTCGGAGGCAGAAGCAGACAGACCTCTGTGAGTTCAAGGCCAGCCTGGTCTAAAAGAGCAAGTTCCAGGACAGGCCCCAAAATTACAGAGACCCAGTCTCAAAAAAAAAAAAAAAGATATTCACTTATCTAAGGGAGAAGGGGAGGGGAGCACTGAGTAGGAGCTCCAAGTTCTAAAGGGCCATCACAGAAAGCTCAGTTGGTGTCTGAGTAACTAACTCATCCTCGCCTCAAGCTTTTGCTAAGCTTTCGACAACCCAGCACATAAGAATAAAGACTAATAATTAGAGAAGTCCTTTTTAGAGTAAGGGAATTAAGGAATCTGGAAAAACATTCCTGGCCTATGGCTTTTGGAAAACACCATCCCCAACTGTTCCAGCAGAGCCTGGCCCCAGCTGTGTTTACCTGTTAGATATTTTACTTTAGCTCTTGCTCGCTCATCTGCATCAAAATACCAAACAGTTATTGCGTACCTAGAAGGAAATTTAATACAGGGTCAGAAAGGTCCCTGGGAAGAGAGTGCGCCTTACAACTTGTAATGCCCAAAGCATCCTCAGACCCATGTGTGGACCAGGCAAGCGTGGTCTGCCCATCCTGCAGATGAGCTGCAGCATCCCAGGAGGCTCACAGCCTCTCCACACTCACCCAGCCCGCACAGTCAGAAACAGATAAAAGAGGGGCCAGCGCCCCAGAGGGACAGTGACTGGGACAAAGACACCCAGGCCGGCAGTCTAACACCTCTGGCTCTGGCGTCACTGAGGAGAGCTAAGTCACACGCAGAAACTTCTAGGATTCCTACCTAGAAAGTTGTGCCGGGTTTAGACACTGCATTTGGTTGAACCTTTTTCTGAAAAATCTTCCCTAACTGGACTACTTTATCCCACAAATAAGTGTGGTATGGCAGGTCTGTTTGGAGATCAAAGCACACGGCAGCGCTTGCAATGTGAACAGTGGAGTCAGGAGAGACACTGTGGATGTGAGCGTGTGCTCCAGGCCATCGGTTCCGCACTGACATTAGGTAAGACTGTGTAGACAGGCCAGAGTTCACGGGAAAACCAACAGCCCAAATGCACAGCCGCCGAAAGAGTCGGACGCAGGGCAGAGCCAGAGGCACCTGTGGCTGCAGCGCATGTCCTCATCTACTGGCCAGCGGCTAGCCCGCTCTGCCTAGGCTCCACCTGTTCCTACCATGGCCTCCTCCAGGACACAGGGCTGTACAGGTTCTTCTGAAGCTCTCTTGTCCAAGTCCCAGGCTGCCAGCTAGCTGTCAACTAGAATTCTGATGTCTGATCAACCCCTCCTAGGGCCCTCAGTCCTCAGTAGAAAACTCTACATGTGGCTTCCAGAGCTGCCTTCTGCACACCCACCTCTGTCTCCTGACTTCGATAATCTGCCCTCTGCCTGGGCTATACGGACAAAGCTGGGCTCTGGCCTATTCTCTGGCTCCACAGTCCCTCTCCTGACTGTACCTCTCGCTCCTATGTGCTGTGCCTGGTTCCCAGGCGTCCTGTCAGGGTACCTATGACAACAGGCTCCACCACGCGGCTGCTAACGGCTGTGAATTCGTGACAGAAGCACAGCTAGCAGCAGGAGAGGGAGGACACCGGGGGATGGCGGCAGCAGGTGTGCAGGGTTACGACAGCTACAGAGCGCTCTTCCCGGCGTGCACCACACATGCAACTTCCCTGTCTGTCTCCTCCAACCTCTTTTCTCCTCACTTCTGATCTCAGGATTATTTTTCAATTTTTCAAAAAGCTTCCCTTTTCCTTTTTTACTTTCCTAAAAGTGTTCTGAAAACACCCATGTGACACAGAAGCGGGCAGTGTTGGCAGGTGCACCATGCCTCAGAGGGAGGAGGAGGTCCAGTCCTGTTCCACCTCAAGCAAAGAGCAACTATGAGAAGACCAACATCCTCAAGTGTGAGCGAGCACAAGCTATCCTTCAAACGAGGAAGACCATGAAACCAGAGGGTCTGGAGAGTAGGCAGATGCTCCCCAAAAACATTCAGGTTCACCCTTCGACTCAACTTTCCATGAACAGAACACTACCTTGTAGCATATGCTGGTTGTACTTCGTGAGGGTTGCGTCGGTCAGACCAGAAAAACAGCAGTCTATCAAATTTGGGTTCAATGTCAGCAAACTGGGCTTTGCCTTCTGGGAAAATTCGAAGTATACCTCCACTTACCTGGGAAAAGAGAGTATGTCAGTAAGAACCACCAAGAATGGGGCCAGGTTAGGTTGGGGGCAGGAGGGGGGAGTTAAGTGACTTGAAATGCTTAGCTGGATTACTTGTGAATACAATTATGCTAATTAACAAGGCAGGACTCCGTGTCCAACACTAACATGGAAAAATTCCTTTTTGTCGTAAGCACTTGAAGCAGATAAATATACAAAACCTCCTAATCTGCTTGCGAGTTTTGAAAATCAGTGAGCGTTTCTATTCACGCTGACGTCGGCACTAAGCCACTTTGCTGAGTGGCTTCCCCAGTGAAATGGTTGGTCCAGCCCCATCTGCTTTGACTTTCCACAGACACTGAATAAGCAGGCGAACTTAGAGCCTTGAATTTATTTTTTAATCTATGTTTGTGTGTACTGTGTAAGGGGGAGGACAGCCGTCTGTGTGTACTGTGTGTACTGTATGTACTGTGGAAGGGGAGGACAGCCGTCTGTGTGTACTGTGTGTACTGTGTGTACTGTGTGTACTGTGGAAGGGGAGGACAGCCGTCTGTGTGTACTGTGGAAGGGGAGGACAGCCGTCTGTGTGTACTGTGTGTACTGTGTGTACTGTGTGTACTGTGGAAGGGGAGGACAGCCGTCTGTGTGTACTGTGGAAGGGGAGGACAGCTGCCTGTGTGTACTGTGGAAGGGGAGGACAGCCGTCTGTGTGTACTGTGGAAGGTGGAGGACAGCTTTTGGAGGCTGCTGAGTCCCATGGGTCAGATTTATTGGATCATCAGGCCTGATAGCAGGTGCCCTGACCTACTGAGCCATCTCCACTCCTAACTCATTCTGTACCTAGCTAACTCCTGTAGCCTGGGTCTAAATTCTAATCATAGCTGATAAAAGCTCAATTTCACCCATATAACTCATTTGCTTGGACCACAGCTCTCGGTGGGGACTGGACGGTCATCACAGACAGTATGTTAATTGCCCTGGGAGCCATGAGGCTTCTCCATGGGGAGTTGGGGACGCGCACAGAGACCTGGTCCTTGTGTTTTAGACTACGAGGAAAAACACTAGACTAAAATCTCCAATCTGAGATATTTTGTTACTTATTTTTTGTTTTTGTTTTTCTGAGACAAGGTACCAAATAACCCAGGCTGGCCTCCAATTTGCCATGTAAGCAAGGATGCTCTTAGTCTGTGGTCCGCCTGCTTCGACCTCCCAAATGCTGAGGTCACAGGTGTGTGCCAACAAGCCCAGCAACAGTGCTCCTGACCAGGTGGACTCAAAGTTGAAGGGCACGTGAATGCCTTGCCCTGAACCTAATCTAGAACTCACAGTTAGATGGTGGACTTGGGGCTTATCCCCTGGTGATGTCGGCCACTGGGAATATGGCCTGCTGCCTTGCTTCTGTGTGTCACCAAATGCCAGGTCATCCTGCAAACACTTAGGAAGCTGCGAGAGCAGAAACACAGACACATCCTTCCTCTCCACCCTGCTGCTGGAGGCACTGGCTGGATGACACCCATCGCCTACTGGGCATCTTCCTTGAACCAGGCAGCCTTCCTGCCTCACTGAGGATGGCCTTGAATTTCTGAATCTCCACCTCCCGAGTACAGGACTACCACTTCCACCACAGTACCACCCATGGGTGCACACTGTACAAGGCATGTTTTATGTTCTAATACATTTCTGTTTGCTTTCAGACACACTGTTATGCTTCACTTCACGAAAATCCAAGGCCGACCAGATGGGAGAGAGAGCAGCCCTCTGTTAGTTCAGCCTCACCCACGGGAAGTGCAGACATTACTGTGAGGGAAACAGCCTGGGGAAAAAGCAGTGCTGCTGAGTTCAGCTGCGTACCTTGGCGTCCCAGTCTTTATTTAGATAATATATACATGTCACACATCTTCCATCTCCATTTGGGTTATCAACGTGACGGACGTAGCCTGTTCCGTTGCCTGGGTAGCAAGCAACCATGGCCTGAAAAACAACAAGGTAAATGGCCCATGAGTGGACATGCTTACGAGACAGAACTCTGACTCACTGGGTGTGAGCACAGTAAGATCCCATTCTGTGATAGGGAGAGGTAAGGATAATCAATGATGACATTTATGAAGAACCCAGCATAGGCCAGCGAGCAACCCAAGGTGTGGAGAACCCAGCTCAGTGGCAGTTTTGTAGCAATGGAATGAGCCAACATGGAGGGTAAGGGGACCAAATATCGGAAACCCTGAGCTATCATAAACCAGTGGCCCCTGCTTTAAATAACAGAAGTCAGAACGGTTTCTGGACTCCACTGTCCTGATTGTTATATACTGTGGAAACTAAGAAGATGAGTGTCTGACCTGCTCAGTGGAGCTCTGTCTTCCTGAGGCAGCCTTGGAACCAAAATCTGAGGAATGAACTACCCAACCTGGTGCCACCTGATTCGAACAGTACTGGTTGAACATAATTTAGATGGACAACTCCAAATATCCTCTTATTATGAGATCAATGAATAAAAGAAACTCATAACACATTAACCCCTCTTGGGTGGGAAAGGCAACTATCAAGATGTGGTTCAGGAGACTGTTGGGTGTGATACACAAGGGGATGGCATCCACAGAGATACCAAGTCCCCATGTGCTCTGGGAGCATGCATGTGATCAGCTATAATTCTGGACAGAGTGAGCAACAGAAAGTCCACAGTTATGTGGAAGACAGGACACTGTCAGGTCTCAGCTCATGCCACCATGAACCCAAGCTGAGGCATCGAGCCACGAAGCGTCAAGCCCGTCGCCGAACATCAGATTTAGATCTGTGACAAATGCTAACATTGTCGTCCTCTGTATTTACATTCTTCTTCTGCCAGCCTTTCAAGGGCACAAATATCTGAACTTAAAGTGACTTGGACTCCATTTTTTGACTGAAATTCATGCCACTGTCAGATACTGATGACAGAAAAGCCCATGGCTCGTAGGAAAGAGGCAAGCAGCAATCCACCACATCAAAAATGACAGAAGTCCTTGAAAAGGAGAGAGGGTGACACTGCTTTAAGCTGCTCAGTGCCACTGTGATCTGTGCAACAGCCGCCTCCACCTCACCTTCCTGTCAGCTGACGGCAGGTCAGAGGCCAGCGCTGGAAGGGAGGCAACCCACTGGCAAGGGAGAGACAGCTTCTAGATAAATCCCCAGGAATGATTACCTAATCTTTCTAAGTGTCATCTACCATTAGATTTAGATCTGTGGCAAATCCAGACTTTTAAACCTCACAGTCAGCTGGCCAGGGGCTCATTTCTGAGGGGCACAAATGCCATTTCCCTAGACACCGGACCTCCTGCTCTCCACCTCAGGAGAGGCTGCTGCTGAGTACCCCACGTCCCTATTTGTCCCGACTCAGGATGGACTTCATACACATCCGTGTTAGTGTTAGTGGCTAGTGATGACACACTGGCCTGGGGAGAAGGGTTTCAGATTGCTCAGCAAAGGAGTCCGTAGCCAGCTGCCCAAGACTCCCAGCACAGTCCCCATGACAACTGCCAGAGAGCACAACTTAGCAGCAAGACCCTCCCACTCGTAGTGAATTGAGAACATAGCGAGTCAAACCTGAATTCTCTCCTACTGGGATCTCATTTCAAAAAATAAACTGGGGAGGGGGTTAGGATGACTCAGTGGGTAAAACCATTGCTGTGTGAGCCAGATGGCCTGAATTCAATCCCTGGGACTCATGGGAAGCTGGAGGAGAACCAACTCCACAGAGTTTCCTCTGGCCTCCACATATGCACAGCTCCCCCACACAACAGTTAAAGTCAGTTTGGACCTCTGCACATATCTGGTAGTTCCAGAAATGAGAGGACAGGAAGTCCTCCTCGGCCTGCCCACACTGGCTACCCATCCATCTATTCGTTAAGCAAATATGTTTTCAGACTTAACCACACCGTCCACATACTCAGGCCCTGGGAGTATCATGATGATGATCAAAAGAGACAAAGTTCCTTACATTCGTTTGTTCGTTCATTTATTCATTCATCCGTCCATTCATCCGTCTGTCCGTCCGTCCATCCATCCATCCATCCATCCATCCATTTACCCACCCATCCACTCTGCCCGCCCCTGTCTGTCCACCCACCCATCCATCCATACATACATACATACATTCACCTGGGTTTTGGAGACAAGGTTTCACTAGAGTCACAGATGTGTAATGTATCTGGCTATTCTTTTGTTTGTTTTTTGTTTTGTTTTTTGAGACAGGATTTTGCTGTAGCTTTTGGAGCCTGTCCTGGAAATAGCTCTTGCAGACCAGGCTGGCCTTGAACTCACAGAAATCCACCTGCCTCTGCCTCCCGAGATTAAAGGTGTGTGCCACCACCGCCCGGCTCATATCTGGCTATTCTTGTTTGCATTTATTATGAACTCTAGGTCAATGGTGTCAGTCCATAGACATATATAATGCTGAGTGTGACAGTTATTCTTGATTGTCAACTTGACCATATCTGTAATTAATTAAAACCCAAAAATGGCTAGGCGCACTGTGAGGAATTTGTGCTTACTGAAATCATTTGGAATGGGGAAATCCACTTCTAATCCGGATCTTTGAGGTGAGATGACCCACCTCTAATCTGGGGTACTTCTGCTGGCAGCCTACATAAAGGACATGGAAGAAGAAAGCTTGCTCTTTTTGCCTGCTTCCTTCCACCCTCGACAGCAACTCCATTTCTTCACTAGCATTATCAGAGTCTACTTCTTCGGGATTCTGGCGAATATGGAAGAGCAGTTGTGACATCCAACCTCACAGACTGAATAACTACTGGATTCTTAGACCTTCCGTACATAGGCCAGTCATGGTTGGATTAGCTAGATCATAGACTGCAAGCTGTTCTAAGACATCCCCTTTCTATACAGAGAGATTCATTCTATAAATTCTGCTGCTCCAGAGAACCCTGACCAATACAGTTAGGTAATGGGAAGTTATTTATCTATTCCCAAGACAGGAAATCCAAGGACACGGCACATGGCTCCCAGGAGCTGTCTGGTGATTGGGGTATGGAAGCAAGGGCCACCTAATAGGGCCACCTAATGAAGCACAGCTGTGTCTGGGCATCATACACGAGGACAGCAGTCTGGGATAGTGTGGCAGAGCAAGTAAGGCTCAAAAATCAGAACGGGATCAAGAATCAAAAGACTGCAGCCACTATTCTGAAGGGAACGGCAAGTCAGGTGTGCGGTGCACGTCTGTCATTCCAGCACTCGAGAGATGAGGGCAGGAGGACCCTGCCTCAAACAAAATAAAAACAAGCCTCAGCAGTGACAGGAGCTGACAGTGAGCACACCTCACTAATGTTTGAAAACCAGTCCTGTACAAGATGGCGCCAACTGTGGAGACCTGGCGTTATGCTGCTACGTTCACAGCCACTCACCATCTGCCAATGCACGTAAGTAAGCATATCCAGCACACCAACCGGGTGAGGGGCCCAACCACCGCCAATGCACTGTAAGTAAGCATATCCAACACACCAACCAGGAGAGGGGCCTGACCACAGCTCTCCTCGTCATCCCCCTGTCAAGGAAACTAAAGCCAGAAAGACTGCTCATGTTCTTATGCCAGTTGGATGCGAGGAATCTGGTTCAGGAAGCCCCTGAAGCAGGGATAGACTACAGCACTGAAGTGTTCACAGACGGTGTGTGTGTGTGTGTGTGTGTGTGTGTGTGTGTGTGTGTGTGTGTGTGTGTGCAGTCTCAGAGGGAGAAATACAGGAGAGCAGCACAAGGCAGGGCTCCACGGCTAGACACCTAATGTTTCACGGAAGAAGCTAAGGGATGGGAGGAGGCAAAGATGGATCACATAGAGGACAGAGTGTGGATGAGACAGCACGAAGTTTTAAAGTTTCAATATCAATTCAATGAAGCAAAAATCCATTTAATTGTGCTAATTAGCTCTCCAGTCGCTGTGGTATCTCCACCACCTGCATCGTCACATCTGTCTTACCCAGCAGCCTGAGCCCGCAGCCGATGATGGGGCTGAAGGAGTACGGCCACCAGGCCTGCAGTTAGCTTGCGACCTCAATCACCTTGCCTGAGTCAGCTCTCAGGCGGCAAACCGCAGCAGCAACCATAGAAAGCTACAGAGTTCCAAACAGACTTGACAAATGAAAAAGCCAGAAGACGGGGTGGTGCCCACCTGGGATCCCAGTGATGTCCTGTCCCTGACCTAACACTGTGGACACCAGCTCTGGATGCCTCCGCTTCCCAGGAGGAAATAAGCTATGAGACCATACTTTTCCTTCTTTCTGGTATGAAAACACACAGACAGAGTACATTCTCATGAGGGTGAACACTGTAAAGTTGTTCCTTCTCACCCAGAGAATAAAACAAAGGAAGAAGCCGGCCATATCTCTCCACAGTCCAAGATATGTTTATTTCTGGCAATGGACAAGATGAACCAACTGTTGCTTTGCTTATCCCCTTCTTTCTGAAGTGAATTATTTAGAAACAGAAATTGTTTGATGCTAAGAAAACCCAAAGGTTGACAGGCTCTGTAACTGTTTTCACTATAACGAGAGGACAGGGCTGTGATCTGACAGCTTGCCCTGCCCGAGTACCGTCTCGAGCACACAGCAGGTGCACTCCAGAAAGGTGATACTGGCCTTCACCTGGCACTCCATCCAGGCCAAGCACACTCCCATATGGTCCTCACAAGAAGCCCCGCCCCCATCACCCAGGTGTGCCGGCTTGATTGCAAGTGAACTTCTTTCGTTCTTTATTAAATAGTCTCCCTGTGCAGCCCAGGATGGCCTCAAACTCAAAATCCTTCTGCGCCAGACACCTCAGCGCTGGGATTCTTGGTGTGCACCCCCACATTTGACGCATGCATACACTCAAACACACAGTAAGCTATCTATGTCTGCAGACAAGTTTCATCCAGCATGCTGTGATTTCATTTGGTACTATCTGTTGCATGTTTATGAGAATGTTCAAGTACATGCTGCAGGTGGCTGCAC